GGCCCGTCGTGGTGGTGTGAAGCGTATCTCTGGATTGATCTACGAGGAGACTCGTGGAGTTCTCAAGGTTTTCTTGGAGAATGTGATCCGTGATGCCGTCACGTATTGTGAGCACGCCAAGAGGAAGACTGTCACCGCCATGGATGTCGTCTATGCCTTGAAGCGTCAAGGACGTACCTTGTACGGATTCGGTGGATAAGAACTCACGAGAAGCAACTCTCAAAACAAAACCCCAACCCAACGGCCCTCTTTAGGGCCACAAATGAACCGAACCAATAAAAATATTTGTGTCTCAATAAAGATTTGTTTCTCAGGAAGTCATAAATGCAGCTAACCCCAAAAGTTTCCAGAGCAAACGCACACAAAACCAACGAAGTTTCCAATAAACAATATCTCAATTGTGAATGTTTTCCAATGATAAAATGAAACTGACCGCTCAAATCAAACTTGTAAGTAATTTTTTTGTTCTTATCCTCCGTAGCAGGGCTATTCTAGAAATGGCTAGCCAAATCAAGGCAAGTCGAGCTTGGCTTGATTCGACTTGGTTTTGTTTGGCTTGGCTTGAAAAAATGGCTAACGAACAACTTTGCTCTTTAAGACTCAGACGTGATTTGATCACCTGAATCACTTGTCTGCATTGATTATCGATTATAAGCCAAGCTGCTCCCAACTTTTTGACCCGACCTAGATAACTTCAAAAGATTTAAATTTCAGCCATTGGCATTGTACCAGGCTTTTTGGCGTAAAATTTCCCTTTAAAATGAGGTCAATGAAGAGATTGGAGAAGAATGAGAGAATCAGTCGATGAGAGGCCGGGCCAGGTTGGGATGCCGATAAGGAGAAAATTTAGAAGATTCGAGATTTCCATCAATTTTACAAGAAAATGGAAATGTTTATTAGCTTGCCCAGAGTTGAGGCAACTGGATAACTGTGTTCTAAGATGATTTGAGTAAATCAGGCTTGCGTACGCTGTGGCAAGTTAGAGCAAAGTTTGGCTGTGCATTAGTGTCTTTGATCAATTGCTTTGGACTGCTTTCACGAGTTCTTTAAACCAAAAAAAACTTTATTGAATACAATAATACACAAAAGATTGATCTCATTCAAAGTTAAAATTGTTTCAAATTAAACTAGTAATAAATTTTTGTTCATTTGTGGCCCTAAAGAGGGCCGTTGGGTTGGGGGTTTTTGGTATCCTTTCAATCTCAAGGAGATTTATTTGGATGAGGTGTACTTGGTGACGGCCTTGGTACCCTCAGAGACGGCGTGCTTGGCGAGCTCTCCGGGCAAGATGAGACGAACAGCGGTCTGGATTTCACGGGATGAGATCGTGGACCGTTTGTTGTAGTGAGCGAGACGAGAAGCCTCAGCACCGATGCGCTCAAAGACGTCGTTCACGAACGAGTTCATGATTGACATGGCCTTTGAGGAGACACCAGTGTCGGGGTGGACTTGCTTGAGGACACGGTAGATGTAGACCGAGTAGGATTCCTTTCTCGACTTTCTTCTCTTCTTGTCCCCAGAACGAGGGGTCTTCTGGGTCTTGGCGGCCTTCTTGGCTCCCTTGGCGGATGGCTTTGGTGGCATGTTGAAGTTGAGAGTTGGCTTGGGTTGTCGAACACAAGATGAAGGTTGGGGTTTGGAGGGGTTCTTTTATGAGGGATCGGGTGGAGGGGTGGGGTCTAAAATGATGCCAGGACTGCCCCTGAGGATACCCCAACCCTCTCTACAATTTCCCTCTTCCCCTTTTCTCTATTATTACCCCGCCTTTCCATCTCACCAAAGCCCGCCCATTCACTCCAAGACCTTCATAAACCCTTCAATTCCCCCACAAATCTATCGACAGTTCTCAGTCGCCAATTCTCTTCAACTCTCTCAACAATGTCTGGACGTGGTAAAGGAGGCAAAGCCAAGACCGGAGGCAAGGCGAAATCCCGCTCGGTTCGTGCTGGACTTCAATTCCCCGTTGGTCGTCTTCACCGTCTCCTCCGCAAGGGCCACTATGCTCAACGTGTCGGAGCTGGAGCCCCAGTGTACCTTGCCGCCGTGCTCGAATACCTCGCTGCTGAGGTGTTGGAGTTGGCCGGTAATGCCGCTCGTGACAACAAGAAGACCAGAATCAACCCCCGCCATCTTCAATTGGCCGTCAGAAATGACGAGGAGTTGAACAAATTGTTGTCCGGAGTCACCATCGCTCAAGGAGGAGTTCTTCCAAACATCCAAGCCGTTCTTCTCCCAAAGAAGACCGCCGGAGACAAGGAATAAGCTGTTGCTGTTGAATGAACAACAAAAACCCCAAACCCAACGGCCCTCTTTAGGGCCACAAATGAAAGAAAAGCTTAATTTGAAAATATTCTGACAAATCCTTTAATCGATTATTGTGACTTGTAATGCAAAGACTAAGTTGTCGTTGTTATTAGCAAAACTAGTGCAAATCTCCAATGGCTAATCAATTTTGAGTCAATTTACTGTCTCTGTTGATTAGGAGCAAAGCTTTTTATCGACCAGTCAGATTTTTCAATGCCAAAGCTTTGATACTATGGTTACAGTAGTTTATTGCACATTTATTCTTTGGTTTGAGTCGAGTTTACAAGCTCCCAAACAGATCCAAATTCTTTTTTTTTCATTTTATAACTAAAAATGAATGCTTGTGAGTAAAAGCAAAGGTTTTCCCAATTCCAAAGTAAAAAGCGCTTGAAAACTAGGCTCTGTGAATTATACTTGTAAGCTAGATTCAGCTTACTTCTGAAAAGTTACGACTTGAGCTCTCGATTCCCACACATCTTTGGCTATTCCTTTTCGGCATCCCAATTGGGCCCAAACCCTCTCTCAATCCTCTCATCCCTCACCCAATCTTTCCCAATGACCTAGAGGGTAATTGGGCGCCAAAATGTCCGGAGTGATGCCAATGGCTTGGAGTTGAATGTACACGAGAAATATCTAGGTCAAAAGTGGAGTAGCTTTGAGCAATGTGAATCGATAAGTTGACTGCTCATTAACAAAAATACAGTAGGCAATGGTGTTTCTGAATTAATTGAAAAAGTCTCAAGTTCAGAAGCTGATTGATTGTGCTGGTAAAATGAAACAATTGTACTTACCTGGTAAGTCTGAATAAAGTACTTGCTTCCAGTTTACCACGCTTTAGAATTCAAATAAGTTTCTATTTTACCCGCGAAAATTAGAACAAGTTCCCTGAATACCGTATTTCAGAGTCAGCTTGAATGTTCATTGTCAGGCTAACCGGATGAATATATTTATGTAGTAGTGATACAAGAGCTCCAGTTGACTAGGAATTCAGAATTGAAATCCTGATCAGGGTAACTCCTTCAAGAAGACAAAAAGACGTACCTTTCTTGTTTAGTTGATGTAAACTTAAAGTCTTTTGATTGTTCGTGCAGTTTAATCAATCTTCCACAAGGGAAACAAATCTTTATTGAGACTCATCAAAGCTTTATACAAAGCTATCTAATTTTCGTTTGGTTCATTTGTGGCCCTAAAGAGGGCCGTTGGGTTGGGTTTTGTTTTGAGAATTGCTTCTCGTGGGTTCTTATCCACCGAATCCGTACAAGGTACGTCCTTGACGCTTCAAGGCATAGACGACATCCATGGCGGTGACAGTCTTCCTCTTGGCGTGCTCACAATAGGTGACGGCATCACGGATCACGTTCTCCAAGAACACCTTGAGAACTCCACGAGTCTCCTCGTAGATCAATCCAGAGATACGCTTCACACCACCACGACGGGCCAAACGGCGGATAGCCGGCTTGGTGATTCCTTGGATGTTGTCGCGGAGAACTTTGCGATGACGCTTGGCGCCTCCCTTGCCGAGTCCTTTGCCTCCCTTTCCACGTCCAGACATTGTTCAGTTGCTCAGTGATGAGATGGGGTCGATTGGAAGGGGTATTTATAGGCGAAAGGAATGGGACTTGAGGAGGGATGCCGGGAAGAGAAAAGAGTTGGGTAAAGGAACCCCGCCCATCCACTTCACAAGGCAGTTTTCTGGCTCCAATTCTACTCATTTTTTCCGTCCTTGCCCCGCCCCTCACCCTTTATAAGACTCCCTCTTTCCCTCTCAAAACCATCAGTGCATCGCATCTGACTCGAAAATGGCTCGCACCAAGCAAACTGCTCGCAAATCGACTGGAGGAAAGGCTCCCCGCAAACAATTGGCCACGAAGGCTGCCCGCAAATCGGCCCCAGCCACCGGAGGAGTCAAGAAGCCCCATCGTTACCGTCCGGGAACCGTGGCTCTCCGTGAGATCCGTCGGTACCAGAAGTCCACCGAGCTTCTCATCCGCAAGTTGCCCTTCCAGCGACTTGTCCGTGAGATCGCTCAAGACTTCAAGACCGACCTCCGCTTCCAATCGTCCGCTGTGATGGCTCTTCAAGAGTCTGCAGAGGCCTACCTCGTCGGTCTCTTCGAGGACACCAACCTCTGTGCCATCCACGCCAAGCGTGTCACCATCATGCCAAAGGACATCCAACTCGCCCGCCGCATCCGTGGAGAGCGTGCTTAAGTGTCTGTCACTGAACGCCTAAAAACCCCAAACCCAACGGCCCTCTTTAGGGCCACAAATAAAGTTATTATGAAATCAAAGAATGGATAAAATACCCATGTATACTAATGAATCAGGGCAAGGCATGTCAATGACTGTCCTTTAGTGCACAAGTTAGTCAAATACCTAAAGCGTTTACATTAATAATACAGTTTTGATTCACTATCATATTGCCAGCTACACACTCTTTAGTTTACCACTTTTGATTTTGATAAATTTTAGTATTTATGGTAAAAGTCTTCGTGAGTTTACTGAAAATATTGTCTTATCTTGGTAGGATTTTTATCAGTGTCGTAATTTTCCACGGCTCCACTGCTACACCCAGATGCTCGTTTCTCAGGATTGAGACAAACTAATCTAAAAATTGTCTCAATCCTGGGAAACGAACATCTGGACGTCGCCTATTAATGTGTCGAATTTTTACATGGCAGATTTCCAACTCTCACC